CTTTGTTATAAAATTATAGATAATGGCTTTTAAAAAAATTGGCCATTGTATTGTCAAACCTGACTTTGAATTATGCTTTCATTGTGCACCCATACAAAATTCCATTGACATGTCAATGCCAAAGATTTTTTCATCATATTAGAATAACTAGTTTTCAGTTCTCTAGTCAGCTTTTTAAAAAATGATGTGTGTTTTTTAATTGATTTCCAACAGAAGAGGGGAGAAGGAAAAATAGAAACATCAATGATGAGAGAGAATCATTGATCAGCTAGCTACCTCCTGCATGCCCCACACTAGGGATTGAGCACACAATCCAGGGAATCAGTCTAAGACCTCCTGGTTCATAGGTGGACACTCAACCATGAATCCATGCTGGTGGGCTCTCTAGTCAGCTTTTTAATGAGCAGGTAACATAGAGGTCCCAAATATTTTTATATTTCTAGTGCCCAAATTAAATGAACTAATCACAATGCTATTCAAGGTGGTACATTTCAAAATATTACATTTTAAAAAATGATTTATATAAAGAAAGAAAGAAAATGAACGTTTTTTTCCTTTTTGGAATCCTCCTTCACCCCCCACCTTAATTCTGCCCCTATTTTAATGAAAAGCTACAACAGCGTCACCTTGATTTTGTTTATTTTATTTTTGCTGAGAAATGAACTTTTCAGCTGCATTAGATGACCAGAAACAAGAATACCCAATTTTAACTGGAGCCCTTCAGTAGGGGAAGTATAATTATCATATTAGGTTCATAAATTACTTGTTTCTCGGGACTATATTAGGTCCTGAGAGCAACAGCTGCAGCTTTTTTCTACCTAGATGATGTTTCAATAAAGCTGTTTCTGTTTTTATTCACTCAAATTTACAGTTTCTCCTTTGTGTTGACATTAAGCAGTGAATCTATTAGTTCTCATTACCAGCAGAATAACACTATAAATAGTTTTATATTTTCTCTCACAAATCCTTTCCAGTTGCATGTATGCCTTTAATTTAATAGAATGTCTGGGTAATACATCTTGTTTCTCAACCCTGTCTTTAGGCAAAATGGATACTTTAAGTTTGCCCTTTCATTAAAAAAAAAAAAAAAAAAAAAAAAAAAAAAAAAAGGCAGCTTTGTCCCATCTATTGATCCCAGATACTTAATAGATAAATTGGGCATATAATTATAAAATGATATCAAAATAAAATGCCAAAGTCAATTCACTCTATCCGATTTATAATACTGATTAAAAATATCTGCAGTATTGTAGTATTGTTTCACTGACTTGCTAGTTCTGCTCCCCCCCCCCCAAAAAAAAAACAAACAAAAAACAAGGTATCATAGACACCAAAGATATAATTTTTTCAATATCTAAGTGCTATAAAATGGTTAGGTCTTTTCTTCCGAATGTAAACCAAGCTGCAAAACACCAATTTAAAACACATCCTCATAGCCAGTAGTATAAGCACATTTTAGCAAGTTTAAAAGGCGGTCTGCAAGGATGTAATTATGATGTTGGAAATAACCGGTTGGTTACATTGCAGTTCTCGAAGTGTAACAGACTGTGCCGTAATTGCCGTTGCCCTCCTGGAGTTCTCAGAGGCGAGCACCTCAGTTCTGGCTTTGGTTGCAGCTCTGTAAGGCTTGGCCAGCCTCATGTGTTTCCTGTTTCTGCTTTGGTTCACATGTAGGGGTCCTGCGATGAGCTGAGTTTTTTGGAAAGAATTGGAACCATTTGTTTGTGTTGTCAGTGGTATGAGTTTCGTGGACAAGACTCTTTGAGTGAACCCAAAATCGAATCCAGATATTGAGAGGTTTCTTAGTGCTCTGCCAAACCCAGGTATTGGGTAGCTGAACTGTTAGCTGATATATTGGTTTTGTTAAACAATCACTTAGAGGGGTCTTGTGAATCTACCCTATACATGTCCAGCCTTCTTTTTTGGGCCACTGAAGGGAATTTTTCTGGAACCATAGGAACCCATCCTTTTCTTTTACATAACTTTTAATGGATTTTTAAAAATTAGGTTGCAGCCCTACCCTATTTTGATTCCTTCTATTGCAGGCCCAATCCCTGGGCCAGTTGGGCCTCATGTGGGAGGCAAACAATTGATGTGTCTCTCTCATATCCGTGTGTCTCTATCTCTGTCTCTCCCCCTCCCTTCCACTCTCTCTAAAAAATCAATGGGAAAAAAACACCTTTGGGTAAGGATTAACAACAACAAAAAATTAGATTGCATTGAAAAAAATCACTACAAAAGCAAAATAACATCATATTTCATAAAATTAAAAATAATTTCTTAACATAATTTAATTCTGTGCAGCTGAATGCCACATATTGTTAATGACTGTTTTGGTATTGTGATTTATAATAAGAAATACAGAGCCCCTAAAACCCCAGGAGTTTCTTATGGGATAAGAGCAAAGTGATAAATGTGCCTTTTAGGTTAGAGACGTGATGTTTGCAAAGCCCCTAGATCAGCGGTTCTCAACCTGTGGGTCTCGACCCCTTTGGGGGTCGAACGACCCTTTCACAGGGGTCGCCTAAGACCATCGCAAAACACATATATAATTACATATTGTTTTTGTGATTAATCACTAGGCTTTAATTATGTTCAATTTGTAACAATGAAATTGGGGGTCACCACAACATGAGGAACTGTGTTAAAGGGGTCGCGACCAAAAGGTTGAGAACCACTGGGCTAGGTAAACAAATGTGGGGACTGGTTGCCAGAAGAACCCACCAGGTGATTAGAGGGTTGAAATTTTCAGTCCCATGCCCTGACCTAGATGAGGTTAAATCAGTGGCCAGTGGCCAGTGGCCAGTGACAATCACTCTTGCTTATGTAATGAAGCTCCCTAGAAACCCCGAGGATTGGAGGCTTCAGGTTGGTGCGCGTGTGGAGATGAGGAGTGGCACATTGGCGAGGTCATGGAAACTCCCGCTTCCCACACACATGGCTTAGGTTCCACTTTGTCTGGCTGTTTGTCTGTGTCCTTATGTTACCTTGTTGGGGAGAAATAATTTTTCCTCCACCATACAAAGGGTTTCTTTTGTTGGTCTAATAAATCAATATTTAAAAGATTCATAGGGGAAAAACAAATGTTTAATTTTGTGCATACAGGAACCACATATACATGAGAGGCTTGGAAACAGAAAGGGAACAGGAGGCATAAGTGGAACAAGGTAACTTTGGCTGCGAAGGAACATGTTCTTAATGAAATAAACTTAAATACATATTCTTAAATATTTAAATATGTTTAAATAACAGTGACAAACAGTTAAATACATTTAAATAAATATTCTCACTTATCAACAGGTCCAACCTCTTAGACTAATCAATGACGTGAAAAAGGCAGACTGTTAGAAATTTAAAGAGCCCTAGGGAATATAACTCCCACACCACCAAACAATGCACTGAGTTCTGACCCTCTCTGGAGAGAGCACCAGATGCCACAGGTTAAGGCTCGGTGCCACAAGACTTGCCATATTGAGCCAAGGAGTGGGATGGGACAGGCTTCCGAGGGGAGGAGGGTCATTCACGGGACGATCAGAAGAGCAGCTGTTCAGTGATTAGATATTCGCCCTGCCATACAGATGGGTCATAAAAGTTTATTTCTGGCGATAGCTCTTATTATGGGCAAGGCCCCCAATTTCAGTTCTTCAAGGGAGAGAGAAAAGTTTCTCTTGAGCCCTCAGGGTCTCGATTGCCTTCAGCTCGGAGGAATCCACATGCCATAGTGGTACATCTCGGGGAGGCCTGTTCTGAACTCCTTCAAACCCTGTATAGTAAACTGGTAAATGGAAGGAAATGTTTCTATAATTCTGTGCTCTGCTCTCACAAATGAATCAGTCCCAAGGAGAGGGTGGTGGGAACCTCCGGTTTAGAGCCAGTCAGCCAAAAAGCACAGGTGACAACCTGAACTTTCCATTGGCGAAAGCACACTGCTCATGGTTGTTTTGTTCTCTCAGTATCTTTTAATCTGGAACAAAAACCGTTCATTCATGTCAGGAACTTGCCGATGAGAGTCATATTGTGCACAGTGGCCCACCTGGATCTGGTTCCTTCGTCCTCCTGACACTGTGCTGTCCCCTACACTAATCACACGTGGCCACTGAGCTTTTGAAATGTGGTTCGTCCAAATTGAATGTGTTGTGAGTATAACATTCACATTACATTTCTAAGACTTGGTACCGAAAAAAAAAGGTAAAATAGCCTGCTAGTAATTTTTTATATTGAATACAAATTCAAATGGTAATCTGAACATATATTACCCATAGGTCCTAATACTAAAATTATTTTTATTTGTTTCTTTTCATTTTCTTAATGTATCTAATGGAAAATTTTATTTGCCTCCCAGTATATTTCTACCAGATGGTGCTATTCAACAGTGGTATTCAACAGATTTTGAAACAAAATTGCTCCCCCAGAATCACTTCACATCAGTTCTCTGAGATGTCTTGGAAAAAGAACATGGGTAGATTGAAGTGTTTTTTAGCTAGAGTGTGATAGCATAGTTGCTGTGTCCTTCTAGGTAGGAGCTAACAGATTTTCCATGGTAGTTCTAGCCCAGGGGTCCTCAAACTACGGCCCGTGGGCCACATGCAAATATAAATATGGTAGTTGTTCCCATTTTGTTTTTTTACTTCAAAATAAGATATGTGCAGTGTGCATAGGAATTTGTTCATAGTTGTTTTTTTTTAAACTATAGTCCGGCCCTCCAACGGTCTGAGGGACAGTGAACTGGCCCCCTGTTTAAAAAGTTTGAGGACCCCTGGTTTAGCCTAAAGTGTTTTCAGACCTGATTTCCTCCAAGCCTGGCATTGTCCAATAGAGGAGACAGCTACTGAACATTTTGAGTGTCTTTGACAGCTGAAAGTATTAAATCATATAAACCTATAAGTGTGCCACAAATGCTAAATATAGTTGGTAAGCCAGTGCTGCTGATTTAAAAGCAAAAAGTATGTGAGCTGATGCAACTTCATGCTTCATTTGTTCATGTGTTTGTTTATTTTTAGCGTTGGAAAACTTCGATCAGATGGTTGGCTCCAGTTTTGGAACTCGGGAAAATCAGCCTGATTTCCGATCCCCGGAGTTTGTGAGTATTACTGCTCTGTCTGAAATCTGTACTGGTTAGCCAGAGCTTCCTCACCAACCGGAGGGAAAGGTGTGGCTTTTTCCATGGATTCGTGCCTTCAGTGGCTCTTCACCCGGCACAGGTCTCGCTGGCAGTGCTGTGGTTCTTTGGGGAACAGGTGACTATAGAACTGTAGCGTCTTGGCATCATGCTCTGTTGGTTCGTTCTGCTACGTGTCATTGTCAATGGGAACTCATTCTGCAGCACGATAGCATCACGTTCCCCATCATTCGTTCATACCCTGGTATCAGTTTCTGCTGTTAGTAACTCAGGAAACCAGTCTTTACTGAGCACGTACAAGTCCATTAACCAGTCTGATTCCCATTTTATTCCAAAACCTCCAGTCATACAACCTATATAGGCATATCTTGCGGGGCTAGGATTATTGTAGTGGTTATTCCTACCAAGAGGGGAACTACATGCTTCCACTAAATTAGACTCATTAGAGGCTAGCCATGGTTCCTACCCTTAAGAAATTAAAAATCTTATTAGATGCTACTGTGATTTTATTAATGCCTTGTTAAAAGAAAATTAAGCACATAGGACGCTTTATGCAGAATGTCCTCACTGAATAGGTTTTATATTAGATTCACTTGAGGGAGGGAGTGGGAAGAAGTGTTTCTCTGACTCCTGTACCCTGTTATTCACAGACGTGTAGGAAAGCATGCCAGGACCCACCGCCATGGATTGATTTTTGCCCCCTGCCGCAGGCTTGTCTACCACTTTAGCAATGCAAAAATCTTTTTTGATTTATTTTCAAAGTGTAATATGCAGTCGCCACTCCGACAATTGACAGAGCACCAGGGCAGCATTGTATTATTGATAAAGATGCCCCCCCCCCCCAAAAAAAAGAACTCATTATGTGTTTTTCCTCTCTCGTCTCACTCACTCTTTATGGATCGCCCCCTCGATTCAGCCAGGAGGAAGAGCTCTGGACTGAAAAGAGATCGCACATCAAACTGTACCCACAGTGCCATTGTATTTCAAAGTGTGGGCTCCTGTGGTGTACTAGCAGATTGCCTACTGCGAAAATCACTTGGCTGTAATAGAAAGACATAGTGTTCGATGGCTTCCCTGTTATATTCAATGAGATTTTCAGTGAAGGAAAATTGGGAGTGCTCGCCAGTAGTCCTGCATCTTAAAGGAACAGAGCATTTTTGTGGTGGATCTAACTTCTGCACTTAGAGGCCGGAGTGGAATTGACGCAGGTGTTTCACATTTGAGTCTGATATCAGTACAGGCTCGTGGAGGTGGCCCTCTTTGGTTCTGTTATTTTCGAACTGCTTTTTTTCTGATAACCTGTAAGCGACATATCTAATCTAAAAAAGAGCTCTGTGCAGTCAGGTGGTGGTGTGCTTGGTAAACACATCGAGTTCACACCAATGCCCGGTGTGGAAATAGAAGTATTTTTTCTTAAGAACAGATCTTCGTATATTATGGCGTTGGAGATTGGCATGGCTCAGTGTTGTCTTTGCCACAGACAGTCTACCCTGGGAATTACACTGGGAATCTTCTTTTACCTGCCATGTTAACTGCCCCATGTCCCTTTTTCAGGTGGGAGGACTGGCCAGTCCAAGCTAGAATGACCAGGGCTGGAACTTGGAGATCACAGAATAGACTTACCGCGACTTGTCTTAACAATGAGTCCGAGAACCTCCAAACCGAAAGGAGAGATTTAGGCTCTGTCTTCATATTTTTATTTTTCACTCAAGAATATCCATCATTTCTTTTCACCGCAGTAGAAGAGCTGAAGTTGTTAATCACAGTTTCCTTCTATGTACGGTTGATATCGATGTCTATAGCCTTGCTATTATCTTTCTCTAACTGTGTGTTCGCACCCGTGTTCAGGAAGGCATCTGTGATTTTTCTTGTGCTTTATGGATTTTCACGCATCCGATGCTCACTGCATGCCACATCCCTGTGTGGCCTGTGCATAGCCGCTTCTGTTTTCTCCTCAGCATCACTGTAGGCTGCATACTCCCAGTTCCACAGTAAACATGTATTTCCCCGATGCCGTCTCCATGGTAAAAAACAGGAGGTGTGCAAGGTGCCTGGAGAACAAGTCCTCAAGGGAATCGGGCGTAATATTGAAGGGTAGCCTTTTTTGTAGGCAGAATGTTACAGCATCAGTGAAAATGGGTGGCTCACTGGGCCGTGTAGGCAGGCGGATTGGGCAAACGCCAGGACAGAATCAGGTAAGCTGATCCAACCCCAAATTTAAAATCAGAAACAGGTGATACTGTGACCCTGGGAGCAAACAGAACCCAACAGCAAAGCAAAATTGAAAACAGGGAGAAGACAGAAGAGTAAAAGGAGCTGTGAAGTCAGCATTCTGTTCTCCATCTGGCAGTTTGCTGAGCTGAACCGAAATAAAGCAAGGCACAGACTATGTTTACTCAGGCCTTAGCCTCAAATAGTTCAGATTTTAGAAGGATCAAGAGTCTAGTGTTCTCATACAACGGAGTGTATTTATATGGTTTGGCCAACAGGGAGAATGAAAATGCTTATCATTATTCGTTTCCTTCAGAATTTCCGTTTTTCTTTCCTTTTAAACAAGGCCTCAGAGAGCAGTGCTAGTTGAGTAGCCTTGGTTACCGGCATGATAAGCACATTCAAAGTTTCCGTCGCAGCTCAGGTGTCTATGAAGTGACTAGTCAGGCAGAGCCGTGTTGCCAGGTGGTCTATGTAAATGACTGTAAGTGACGGGTAAACAGATGCTGTTGTGAACCCCCGTGTGGCCTGGAGACAGCAGCCCACTGTGCTCACTTCGTTCACTGCAGAGGTTATCCATTTATGCTTTTGTCACCGGCGTCTCTGTGCTGCTCCTCTCCACTTCCCACCCCACTTTTAGACTGAGGCAAGGTTAGCCAAAGCATGCTGAAATGGAAAGGGGTGACAGAGATGTGGACACAAGGTGTGTGTGTGTTTGCTACTCCAAAGCGTGTGAGGTGCTGGGAACATGTTGAAACTAAACATGGACCCTCTCTGAGGTGAGGTGGACGCGGGAGTGAGGTGGAAAAGACCCGGCTAAATGCTGACCTTACAGAGCGTAACTTGGTGATCTTGCTATGCTGGGAAACCATCTCAATCCAGTGCAGGTTTTTATATAAGCACAATGAAAATCCATTTCATAACCTGCTTTATTAACTTAACATTTTATCCTGAATGTTTCCCTTGCTGTTTTTCCCCAGTTTTACTGAGATTTAATGAATATATAATTGACATGTAGCACTGTGTTCATTTAAGGTATACAGTACCATACTGTGTTTTTTTCCCCTCTAATGTTCCTTTGTGTCAATTAACTATAATTAAATTATAATTTTACAACAGTTAGTTCATGGCGACCTAGTCAAGGACAGAGTGGTATGGCCAGATGCTCTGGAATCAGGTGATTGGTGACCACCGTTTTCGGACATGGACCCCAAACATAGACTAGGTACGTGATGACAGGTCTCAGACACTGGGGAAGGGGACTGGCCAGAGTGAGGCTGGGGATCGGATATCCCTGATAACCTTGTAGAGTTCAGACTTTGAAGCAGAGATGGCAGACCTAGGCTGTCTGTTCAGAACTGAGGATGGAAGCCATCCACATGGCTATGGAGCAGACAGAAGTGGTTCTGCAATATGGTAACATGAAGATAGAGGGCACCTAAGCTCCCCCCAGTGCCTTCAGTTTCAGGTTTGGTTAAGAACAAAGGTGACCTGAGGGTGCAGTCATGGCTGACCTCGCAAACCTCAGGTTTATTCCAAGCCTCAAGGAGTGGAGGGGTTCGTAGGGAGAAGGGTTAAGTAGTGGTCAAGTCTGTTTCTAGAAACCCCATCTCTGTTGGTATGGGCCCAGGAACTTACATAGGCCCGATTGCCTGAGCACACCTGGGTGAAGGATGGGGGCGGGAAGAACTCGGATCTAGCAGTGGGGACTCTGCTTGCAGCAAACTGGAGAGAAACCAGGCTGGGTCAGCAGGAAAACACGTGGAAGGAAAGAGAAGGCTAAGGGATTATGTTTTATGATTTGAGTCTCGCTAATAATATCCCTATTTCAAGCCTTTTCAGACTTAAGATTTATACAGTGGGGCCTTGACTTACGAGTGTCCCGAACTAACAAGTTTTTTGAGATACCAGCTGTCTCTCTGCCGATTTTTTGCACTGAGTTGATAGAGTAATTTGAGTTAACGAGCTCGGTCTTGGAACGAATTAAACTCCTAAGTCAAGGCCCCACTGTATTTAAGTCTCCTGGCTTTTTGGAGGCAGGAAGAGTCTTATCACCTTTTATCTCATGCTGTTAGTGATGTTTTCCTTTGTTTAGCTTCTACCAAATTTAGAGTAAATAATGAGTGTGGGTTGGCAAAAGAATATTAGGATTACAATAGGATGAACCAGGGAAGATGATGAGAAACCAGGATTTAGAGAGACTTACCTAGAAAAATAGACTCAGGAAAATGAGGAATAAAGTGAAGTAGGTATACTGTATGTCCCCTTCGTTCAGCACTCACGATTATACAGAGAGAAGGTCTGAAGAGTATCTCATTGTGTAACTGGCTCCCTTTTTGAGGGAAGATACTACTTTCTAGAAAATACTGCTGATTCCCTGAAATTCAAATTTGATTCTCTTTCACTAGATGAAAATATATGTGATCCCCGAGAAAGAGTTAAAATAATAATTCATTTAACAAATAATGTATTTGGAGTCTACTATTTTAGGCACTGTAGTGAACAAACAAAATATCCCTGTACGTGTGGGACTTACATTTTGGTGGGAGAAACAATAAATTAAATTCATAAAATACACAAAATAAGTAAAATACATCACATGCCAAATCGTGGTAAATCCTAAAGGGAAATAAAGTAAGGATTGTGTGTGTACATTGAGGGGGAAGGGTTACAGTTTTAAATAGTGTTCAGGGCACATCCCACTGCAAAGGTGGCAAGTGAAAAGACCTGAAAGTAGGAGCGCATACTAT